TCATGAGTCATAGGTACTTGTCTGCCATTGCTAGTGCTGGGGCAGCAGGGGTGGCTGGAGAAGGTCATGTGTGCCCACTTGCAAGGCTGGAACACAGCTGGTACTCAGCAGGAAAACAAAACAAAACAAAACAGTAATGTCCACTTGGTGAGAAATTTCTATCCTGATTGAGCTCCTGTCTGTGTCACCCATTTGGCCTTAGAGTTGCTTTATTTGGAATGTTGTTATAGATGATCACAAAAGGACCATACCTTTTTCATTTCTAGACTAAGTGAGATGCTACAAGGCAGGTCAGTGTCTTAGTCAGCTAGGGTCTCAGTCCCACCCCCCCCAACCCAGCCCCAACAGTACCCTAAAGCCCAAGGCAGCAGGGGGCCTGGTGTTTCCTGGTTGGAACAGTGGCACCCTAGGCTTGGACATTTCAGTGTAACTGTTCCAAAGCCTCAGTGTGCATTTCTGCAGAGCCACCGGGAGTGAGCTCATCCTAATCACACAGGGACAGAAGAATCGTATTTTAGGACAGGTGCGTGCACCTGGGAGAGCCCAGTATGAGCTGAGGAAACTGAGGAGAGACTTTGTCCAGATGCCCTGGGACTTCCTGGCAGCAGAAACGGGCTCTGGGGAAGCCTGGTGCACCTTTAATGGTCCAGAACCACCCAGTCAGTCTGTGGACCTTCCCACACTGCTGTTTATCAGACAAGTTGCAGCCCTTCTGGGATTTCACCTGACTGAAAACTACTCTTGGTGAATGTTGGCATGTGGTTTCTTCAAGGCTGAGGACTGACTGACCTCTTCCTGGAGAGTAGTGACATAGCCTAGGAAAGTGGCTAATTGCCATTTGGAATCAGTGTAACCTGACTCGGTGGCCTGAGCCAATCAGGAGACACCTCCATTCATGAACAGGCCTTCTCTGAGTGCCCGCTGGCACCAGGGTGAGGTGTCCCCAGACAGCAGTAGAATAGACTGGAAGGACCAGCATTCTGCTGGAGCTGACGTGGAAGGACCGGGTGTCCCAGAGCAAGAGTAGCCTCACCCATCAGCATGGCAGGGACTGCCTCTAGGGGTTCCACGGGGTTTGAGTCCTGAAGGACAAACAGGAGGACTTTACCTGGATGGATGAGAGCTCTGAATTATAAAGGGCTGTGCAAGTAGACGTGACTATTCATATCACTGTATCCTGGTTCATCAATCACTGGCGACAGGAGGAATGTGAATACTTTTATCTAGCATTATGAATCAAGTCAAATAGGGTATTTTTTCCCCCAAAAGGTTTTAGGGTATAATGATCAAAACAATCCATCTGGGACCCTTAGCCAGTTGCTGGCCTGTTGGATAGAAACAGCAAGTGCCTGTGGCTCAGGATAGCCCTGGCCTGGTCTCAGGACAGGCATGCAGTTTTCCTCAGGGGGCTGGTCTAAGAATGTCGAAGCCCATGGGCTCCACCTGAGCCCATCCCTTCTTGTCTGATTCCATCTCCACCATCACACCACAGCTGACTCCCTTGACAACCCTCTGTGCCTCCGTGCTGCTGCCATCCAGCTGCCAAACTGTGCCTTGTCTCTTTGCACCCAGAGAGTAGGAAGAAGGCTTGGCAGGTCTATGGAGGTCTCAGGTCCCAGACTTGTGGTGCTCAGGCCCCAGTCTCCATCTTTCCTCCCCGTCAGCCGAGCGAGACTCTCTCTTTAACATGCTTGTCTTTCTTTTTCACTGTCGCTCTTTTGCTGAACTCTCTCTTACACAGAGAAGTGCAGCACCTTCCAGACTCAAGATAGCGCTCAGTAATTCATCACCTGATCACTGAGCCCTGACTATGGGCGGGAAACAGCAGTGAATGAGATACACAGAAGGCTTCAGCTGTTGTTTCTATTGTGTTCCTTTTCTGGTTACCTACAGTCTGTGGGAAGTGGAAACTGGTTTCTTTTTACAGTAGTAGCAGAATTTTTCATTTAAAATAAACATTCTGCCAAGTTTTTTGGTTTTGTTTTATTATGTTTCATATTTGCTTGTTTTTTTCCTTGTTGTGTACTGTCAAGTCAGATCCGACTGGCACAGAGGAAATACCCCTCCTTCTCCAGCGCTTTATCTGGTGGATTCATACCGCAAGCCTTTGGGATTGCAGTGCAGCTTCTTGCCACCAGGCCACCAGAGCTTCCTTTTTTGGTTTTGTTTTGTGGAGGTTTTTTTTGTTTGTTTTTGTTTTTTTTAATTGTTTGTCTTTTAAGTAATAAGAGTCAGCAGAGTGCATTATATCAAGGGTGAGACAGGAGTTCTCACATCCAGGCATTGGTGCTCTGGGTCACCCGAAACCCCTGGCTTCCTAGATGCATGATGTTGGTGAGGGTTGGTGCTGAGGACCCCTCTGCACTGATACTGGCTCTGCATGTCCTACAAATCCTGTTCTGTCTGCACTGAGTCTGGCCACCTCTCCACTGCAGAATCCTCCAGAAGATCTGTGGTCCATATAGTCAGGTGCTCAGCCCTCATTTTAGGTGGATGCCCTCGGGCACTGGATTGAGAGCAAACATCAGCCCTTGTGCTAGAGACTCCCTCACCATGTTCCCACCAATGAGCACTGTGTAGTTAACAGCAGCTGAATGCCAGGCACAGTGAAGCACTGTCCTGTGGGCATACTGAGCTCATTCCTGTCTTCACAGCTACCTTGTAAAGAAACTGAGGCATGGAAATATTATACAACTGTCATGGGCCTGTACAGCTAGTGGTGTGCAGCTGAGCCATCTGACTCTGGGTCCCGTGTACTCACAAGCATACTTCTCTGCCACATTTCTCCTAACGCTCAGTAACTGTTTGTGGAATAAGTTAATGAGTTGATATTTTAATGCATGACCCTTCCCCTGCACAAAACAAATTTCCAGTTTCTTGTAACTGCGTAGTTGCAAGAAAGGGTGGCAGCTATAAAATTTACATGTTCAGAATGGCAGGGTGTGCATTGCAAATGCTTACTGGTTTGGGGTAGCTGATGGTGTAGGAGGGTTGGGTTGGGCCAGGCAAAGAAGAGAGTCCAGGGTATGCTAGGCTTGGGTTTGAAGGCTGCATTGGAGGTTTTTCTGACAGCAGTGGAGAGAGGGCATTTTGCCAGTGGGTTACAAATGGCAGCTTGCACAGAGGCCTAGCGTGTTCTCCTTGTGGGGGGAAGAGCAAGGGTCACAAAGGTCAGTGAGAACTGAAGAAATGAGCCAACTCTGGTCCAGGCCTGGAGCGTGGGGTCACAGATGTTGCAAGAGCTTGAAGGGTAGAAGGATGTCAGTTCATGGTTTGTTTTTAAATGTTTCATTGGATTGTTTCCAAGTAGTAGAAGATTCACCACCATCCCCGTTTTTCTTTCCTAGAAACACAAGCTCATCAGCTTCCTGTGACTCCTCCCCCAGGCATTCCTCTAGCCACTGTTCTAATGTCCCTCTAGCAGAAGCTTCCTCTGTGTCCAGCACTCCACTTTGCTTGCTACTCTGAGACGCCATCTGAGAACCGTACACACTTATCCCCAAGCACTGTCCTTGCTTCCCACGACCCCCACAGTAACCATGGATCCCCACCACTGCACTGAACACAGTGGCCTATGGCCTAGCTATAGAGGGTAATCCATGCACCATCATCTAGTGCATGTGAAGACCCTGTGGTACAGTCTTAGAAGTAGGGTGAATGTGAGGGTAGAATATATGTGCACTTCTAATTGCAGTGGGAGCAGTTTGGAAGACGTTTCTTATCCAGGGGCCCAAGTTTAATATCGGAGAGCAGAGAGGTGGTGAAGGGGAGGAGCCACCATGGAAAGAGCCACTTGGTCCATGCTACCCTCCCCACTGCCCCATCTCCTCCCACCCTTCCTCTCTCTGAAGGGATCATCCGTGGCCTGAGCTTATATCTTGTCCTTCCCACATTAAATCCTTCTGGAGAGAAGGTTCAGGTGAACACATGACAAAATTAAGGCTGTGTCAAGTCAATGCTTTCTCACACTCGAGTATCTTCCTTTCAGCCTGGGCAGTCATGGCACCATGGGGCCATGGGGACGTGAACCAGAGGAGGCCCAGCTCGGGGGCTAACTCTGTACACACACATCTGGGGAGGGAGGGAAAGGCCCTGCTTAGAATATGAAAAAGAACTCCTGAAGAAGATGCTGGATCAGAGGGATGTGCACAGGAAGAGAAAAGCCTCAGGACAGAGTGCTCAGGCCCGAAGTAGGAGGAAAGCGAGAGAGCAAGTTCTCAAAGGTGTCTGATGGGAGGGCATCTAGAGAAAGCTTGGGCCACAGAGGGAAGTTTGGATAGTGGGGCCAAGGTAACATCCCTTATCCCTGGAGATCCATGAATGCTTTCCTCAAAAATTTCCTCAAATATTGATAAACTCTCTTTGGATCTGAGACTCTAGTGGCCTAATAGTAAGAAACTGCACTAGAGTCCCAAAGCATGTAGTTCGAATCCTCCAGCTGCTCCACAAGAGAAGGGTGGGCAATCTCATCCCATGTGATTGACCGCCTGCTGTGCTGGAGGGTCAGCTGTGGGTCAGTTCCAACTCAATGGCACACAACAAAATGTCTTTGGGCAAGTTCTCTGGGGATACTTCTGTGGGACAAGGACTGGTGGGAGGTCCGAAATGAGACACTACCATCAAGTGGTTTAGTTCAAGCCTGCTGCTGCCCCTCTGAGCACTGGACCTTGGGTGAATTCTGAACCTGTCCATGCTTGGATTTCTTGTCTGTGAACTGGAAAAGAGAATGTGCCTGCGGAGTTGATGGGGGCTTCATGTATCCATCCGTGTGAAGCCCTGAGCAGCACCCCTACCCCTCTATGAGCAGCAGTGGCAAATCATGGCCAGTGATGGTTTAAATGACTGCCTTGCTCTTGTGCCTGTCATCACCTGTAAGACAGAAATGAGTGCCCTCACCCCCCAGGATCTGTAGGTGGCCTGGCCAGAGTGCAGATGGGAAGGCAGGGCCTTTCCTGGCTGACACTGACGTTGTATTTCCCTCGGTGTGTGTGTGGGCACAGGTAATGGATGACTACAGTGTGATTGGCCGCTCCCTGTTCAAAAAGGAGACCAACATCCAGCTCTTCGTGGGACTCAAGGTGCACCTGTCGACTGGCGAGCAGGGGGTCATTGACAGCGCCTTTGGCCAGAGTGGCAAGTTCAAAGTCCACATCCCTGGTAAGTGCAATGATTCTCTGCAGGGCACCATATACGGGACAAAGAGATGGCTCGCCTAGGAAATACTCCTTGGCTGATGCCAAAAGCTCAGGTTTCTTCTCCTGCATGACTGATGCATAGGGGTTAGCCCACATGTCATTGTGACCTCTGATCCCATTAACATGTGGCCAGTGGCAGTGTAGATCCTGAAAAGAGCCAGGCCTAGGGGTCAAGGCCAGTTCCAAGCCAAAGTCAAGGCTTTAACTTGAGTTTTCCCTTGACCTTGGAGGGACCTTAGGTATGTTGCCGCACCTGTCTATGAATTGAGGTGGCAGCATTGGTCATGCAGGAAGGGGAAAGGGAAGGCATGAGTGAGGGAACCCACCATGGCTTGTACTGCCCTGGAGCTGCCAGGGCTGGCTCGAGCCAGGGAGTGCTTCCTTCTCACCCAGTGAAGACAGTTCTGAGCTCCAACTCCTTCACATGCTTGTATCTCTGTGTATGTGATGGGAATAGCCTTACTGGAGGCAGAGCCTTCTCCTGCTCGTCAGCATGTTTGGGCCTGCAGTTGGTGCCCAGCCTGTTGCTGCTGGCAGAGGTGACTTGTGTCTGGACCGGCATGATAGACATGTTCCTAAGAGAGTGCAGTGTTTTTTGGGGACCCTGGCAGAAGTGGCACCAGAAAAGAACCTGATTTCAAGCATATAGATCATTAGGGAGCTCTTTGTGGGCCAAGGTAGGCATTTGCTCTTGGATCTCTTTAGGCCAGTTACCCACTCAGTCAGGCATTTATTCATTGCTTTATCCAATATTTTGCTGAGGTCTTTGGGGGCATGATGCTCATGTTCTAGTGAGCGGAGACAGTAAGTTAACTTATTAAACATGACAAATTAATAACAACTTGTAATGTGTAAAAGTGGAAAAAATTTAGAAGGAATGGAGCTTGAGAATTCCTGGCACATGTAATCAGGGAAGACCTAATCATAGCGTGCAGGCCTGACTGAAGGGGAGGGAAGGAGCCACACAGATACCTGGGAAAGAACATTCTGCAGGGCCAGGGAAGAACAAGTCACGGTCTCTGAAAGACAGAGAGTGTGTGTGTGTGGGGGGGGGGGTGGCTGCAGTACCATGAGCCGGCAGGTATGGGGTGCAGAGCTGGGCTGCACTATAGTACCGAGTTGCCAAAGCAAGGGCAGTCGTGATGATAATGCCCGCCCACGCTCTGCCACAGTCCACTGTCTTTACTGAGTGCGTTCTCACACGGCAGCGTTGAGATGTTAGTGTGAACACCCACATGCTCTCTGCCACTGTCCATGGCACTTTATTGTATGGCATAGCCATGCTTACCTACAATTACATATATCTACTACACATATCTACAAAACGTATGTTTTACTCTGTGTGCAATGGAAAGCCATCTGGAGGTTTGAGAGTTGAAAAATATGATATTAGCTTGTCACTTCTAGGGCAGAACTTCCTAAAGGCAAGGTGATTCTCAGTGTCCAGCAGTGAAACCCAAATCTCAGCTACTTTCCCTCAATACAGTTAGTGAGGTGAGCTGCTTCTACTCCCTGAGAGCCTAACTGGTGACCTTTGCCTCCGCAGACCTTCCTCACGGGGGAGCACTCTGTGGAGGGCAAGTGTGGTCTCATTTCACAGATGCAGAAGCCAGAATTCAGTTTCTTCTCCTGCACCTGCCATTGTGCCGCAGCAGCTCTGAGGCCTCATCTTGACCAAATGAGAGCCCTTGTAGAGACCAGGGCCCGTGATACCTCCCTCAAGACTCCTGGGAACATTCCAGGTGCCCAGGGGCCATGTACGCTGCACCCAAGGGGCGAACTTTCTGAGCATGAAGGACTTCCAGCCCCCTTCAGTAGGCATGGGGCATAGGGCCCTTCTGAGGGTCACCAGAGCCTGGGCCTGGGCTAGCACCAAGCTTCTAGAGGAAGGCTGGCTATGGTCACAGTCCCTGCCAGCTCACTCAGAGCCTGGCTTCCCCCCAGCTTGTGAGCTTGTCTTTTGAACAGCTCTGTAGTCTGCCTCTGCCAGTGCACACAGACGGGGAAAGAACCCTGGCTGTCAACTTCAGCCTGTTTTTTCCAATCCAGGACGCACCTGGAATTTACCTAGACCAGGCCAGAACCAACAGTCTTGTTGGGGATCCCTGTGCTCTGGGAGATGGGGTGAAGGGGCGGGAAGGAGAAGAGAGGTCAGTGACTCCTGAAGTCAGCTCAAGTTCACATTCCTTTGTTAAGTCAGTGTTGCCTGTTTAATAGGTCTGCTTCTTGTTTGTGGCTTTTAAGCTTTTTATTAAACATAACTAGTTTAATAAAATCTTTTCATCCCACTCCCCATCTTCCCTCCCTCCTACCCCCACTTTCCCCGCATCTACTTGTGTCTTCCCATTGAAATACTTTTGTGAAGAAGTCCTTAGAAAACCAGAGACATCTCTTGTGGGGACGGGGGTGGGGTGGTGTTGGAGAGCGCTGCTAGTAGTGAATTGAAAGTGCTGGGACTGCGGAACCATGGGTCTTGGGCTGTACAATTGGAGCCAGAGAGGTTGGAGGAACGTTTCTTAGAGCAGAACATGGCTTGGGATGGGCCTTTTACCATGGATGGAGGGAGCTGAAAGAATCCTCAGGGTCTGCTCCTATCCATCCCGAATGCCCAGCCACTGCCTGGACTAATGGGACCGATCAAATATTACAGAGAGCAGGCAGCAAATAGTTGGGGGTGCTGGGGTCTGTGAGGACCTGAAAACTATTGGCCCAGAGCCTATGTTTGATTTTTTTTAAATTTTTATTTTGTACTGGTTTACTTACTAAGTTCATATACATTGTTTTTCACACCAGATCTTTTCCATTTCTTTTACCCACCCCTCCCTCTACCCATCAAATTGTACAAACCTATGATTATCACCCCTGCTCATTTCACCCGTCTGTTCCTTCCCTCCCCCTCTTGAATCCTCATACATGTTTTTCTAGTTACCTTTCTACAATCATGGTCTTGTATAATATTTGTCCTTATGGGACTGGGTTAGTTTACTTACCATAATGCTTAGAGCCTGTGTTTTTAAATATTTTATTATCTTTTCAGTGAAAGACAGCAAAATAATCTCGACAGATATTATTCAGTTATATTCTTCACATTATATTAACATTCTCATTATTTCTGTTCTAATTGTTCAGTTCTCATTAACCAAGTCTAAACCTTCTCATCTATTTTTTAGCATGTTGATTGGCCCTTTGCTCTTTATATAGATGGCTTCAGTCTGGCCATGGCAGGTAAGGAGCTGTAAGGAGCTGTACTGCCAACACAAAGGGAGTAGTCAGTTTGAATCCATCAGCTGCTCTGCAGGAGAAACATGGGCATTCTCCTCCTATGGAATTTATAGCCTCTGAAAACCCACCAGAGGGTCAGCTAAGAGTTGATTCAGTTCCAGTTCTTTGGCAGTGAATGAGTACTGATCAGTCTTTCTGCAAGGTCTACAAATCACAGAGCAGGTTGCCACCTGGAGCTAGACCAAAAAAATATAAAACCACAGATTGTTTAACACTTACTCAAGAAATGTCAGTCAACCTGGACAAAGGTGGCAAACCTGCTGGGGTAGGTAACTCCTCAGAATATAAGGGGAAAGGTTTTCTCAAGCTGTTTTTCTTAAAAACCAAGATAAAAGGTCATAGATAAAATGGCTCATTTTTTTACCATCGTCCTCATTATCCATGTTCTTTGCCCATTTGGGCTATTTGTCATTTTATTGTTGTTGGATTGTAGAAACTTTGTTTTGGATATGCCATTCTCAAAGACTTCCCTTGTCTGCATATTGTTGGCCTTTTACTCTTTGGAGAAAAATCTTTGGATGAGCATCAGGTCTATGTTTTTGTAGAGATTTGACCCTTAGCAGTTTGTAACTCCTAATTGAGTTTTAGGAAGTCTTCAGCCTCAGGAGTCATAACTAAAGCATAATATATTCTCTAGAGCATTGAAGCTGACCTGCGTAAGGGTCTTGACATAATAAAAGATGCTCTTGGAAATCAGAGGGATGGAGGGATAGCCCATCTTTCCTGGCACCCAGGATGCCTACTCAGAAAGTTGTGGGGCTTTGGGGATGGAAAGGCCTACACTGACCTATTTAGGCCTTCAGAGAGATGATATAATGTGAGTTAGGAGCTGACCTGAAAGTTTTGCTGATATAAGAGATGGTTGAAGGATATTAGAGCCCCTGAGTGGATGGTGCAAATGGTTAGTAGACTGCTAATGGAAAGGTTAATGGTTGAGTCTGCCCAAAGATACCTTAACAGAAAAAACTGAGGATCAAATTCTAAAAAGGCAGCCATTGCAAACCCTGTGGGGCACAATTCTGCTCTAACGCACATGAAATCATGTCTTGGTGCCAACTGGTTTTTGGTTGGAAGTTTTCTGTAACAGCAAGGCTCCTCCAGGCAGCTTCCTCCTGTTCCCTGTGATAGTGTCAGTTCTGTTTCCTCTGTGTGTTTCTTCAGTATCTGGTGTAGTGCCTGGTTCTGGGGGTGTTTTACCTGACCCCCAGGGCAGTCCAGGGAGCTGGTCTTGCCATCTTTACTGTATGTTAGGAACTCTGAGAAGGTTCTACTGCTTCTCAAGGGGCATCTACTGCTGTGGACCAGCTCTCTGCATGTGGTAGATGGGCTGGCCCCCACCACAATCAGGGTGTGATATCTGAGCTGCTTGTCTCCCAGCCCAGGGCTGAGCACTATTACTTGCTCCAGACTGAGAAGTGGGACACATGTCCCAGCTAGTGCCCCTATTTCCACACCAACACACACACACACTGTAAGGAGGAAAAAAAAACCTCTTTGAGGACTGTTTGATGACTTTTAGATAAAGCACCAAGTGAACAGTGTAAAGGGACTTGTCTCTTATGACATTTGAAAACCACTGTTTATTTACTTTTTTTTTCTGAAACACAGAGCTATGAGTGCCCTGGAGCCTTGTAATGTGCCTTTTGAAGGACATGACAAGCCTTTGAAGAGGCCAGATTT